AAAATTTATGAAGAATTTTACTATATAATGTTACTGTTATACTGTTTTATTACCTATTTTCTATGTGGTATTCTGATGTTCACCCCACCTCTGCCGCCACCGTTTTATTTCTCTGAGCTGCCTAGATGTGGCCTCTGTACAAAAGCATGTGGTTGTACGTTTCGTTGAAGAAGACAATGTACAAAACAACTCGGTGCTAGGGCTGTAGAAGATAACTAGAGTCGTAGATGTCCTTAGCTTGGGGGTGGTGGGGAGGGATGGACAAAGGAGAGAGAGTTCTGGTTGGGAAACAGCAAAACTGCAAGCACTGCAAAGAGAAGTGCTTAACTTGGATGCCCAATTTGCATTTAAAATATGAATTGTTCTGCATCCGTTTTCCCATAACATTAATCGGATAAATTGCCCTTGGTTTGATATGAATCGGTTGGCAAAATTATTTGGCCAAGAAACTAAATTTTCCGCAGGAAAGCCTGCAAGAGAAACTCTTCCTTCATTGCATTCAGCTGATTAGCAGAGACCATGGTTCACTGTGACTAAGCATTGTACAGCCCGTGACAGAGAGACCCGGTCGCTCCGCGGGTTAAGGCAGTGCCACTGCAGCCACCGTTCCTGTCCACATTTGTCTTTGGTCCAGAAAATAAAGGCGACAAAATCTGTTTACATGTTTCTTATTTTCCAATCCAGCAACACATCCTTCCTTACGCTGTGTCAGATTTCCTTGTGTTGTTTCTGAAGGCTGCAATCCAGACCCCTTGAAAGCCAGGGGGGAAATCCCTCTTGGTTTCATGTGGTTTTGAAGCAGGAGCCCACGTAACATGCTCTCCCAGCTACGCCGTTTCTTCTTCCTGGCTGCTTCTGTAATTGGCTTGCAATCCTGTATTATATTCCATCCATTTGAACAGAACATTATGTCATGACCAAAGAATTTTGACCTCCTGGTTTTAACAGGAGAAAGAGATGGCTTATACTGATTATGAGGGTGAAATCCATGCAGTGAAATATCTTCCAAAAGGATCTGTTGAGAATGAGGGGAAACTTGTACTGCTGTGGAGTAGGGAAAAAAAAAAAGATCTATGGCATATATTTTGTATATTTAAATTTCTATCTATGTGTCTGAAGTTTGGTAGCACAAAAGTCCCTCTTTAAAACAATCGTTTTAATATATTCGCGGAGAAGAAAAAGTGTGTTTGAAACTTCTTGTTATATTGGCTTTTCTTTGAAATTATATTGACAGCATTGCCACAGCGGTTATTGCTGATCAAAAAACAAAAACAAAAACCAAATATAACAAATTTTAGAAGGTTTTTTGTAATCTATATTGCTAAAGTTTGTTTGAGTAATGCTTTATCAGTAGTAGTTTCTTTTCAGCCTCTGAAATAAAGTTTTTAAATATTTTATAACTAATTAACTAATGTATATTTTGATGTCCAAACTGAGATTTCTGTAAAAGATGAAGTGTGTGTTTATATGTGTGTATGTATATTAGCATTACTGTGTATGTATATATGCATATGTGTACACACATATATTTGTATCTGTGCATGTATCTATATATACTCATAGATGTGTGCATACGTATATACCCACATGTTAAATATTGGTGTGTTATCAATATACAGTGGCTGGAATGGGCACACAAGTGAAATGCAGATTTAAAGAGCCCCTCACAGCCGAAATGACAGAAGACATGGAAAAAACCCCAGAGGCTGTGAAGGAATCTTTGAATACATGTTACATCCAAAAGACACCAACTGTATATTCTGCTTATTCTCTCTTTTTTTTAAAGAAAGAAAATGGCAGAAGAAAAACTCCAGAGATCTCGCAAACTTCCAGGATCTGCTGGAAAGAAGACAACTTGTTGGTCATGAGAAATCTGTTGAGATAACAGGTTCATGATTCAGAAAGTGTTTATGCTCTGTCTTCCTTGTAATGTGGCAAGAGAAGAATTTTTCCATAACCATGTGTGAAATACTTAACTCAGCCCTTTCCCCCCAACTGCACAAGGTCTCTGGTGATGAAACAAAAGCTGGTGTTCAGTCAAGCTTGATAGTCCTTCTCCACACTGGTCTCTTCTGGAGCAGCTCCTTTAACCCCCACTGCTGAAGCTTTGATCTCGCTGTCCAGCCCCAATGCCACACACAGGCACTGCAGTGCCAGCCCTTTTGGGGGGAGAGCAGGTGTCAACATGAACAGTTACGTGTTTGATCGTGTTTGTTCATATCGTGTCCTTTTCATATCGATACATAATAGGAGAATAATGATCAGGGAATTGAAGCATTCTTGTCCTAAGGAGATTTGCTTGTACACTTAGCCCACCGTAAACCACTCCTTGTTTTGTGTTTATTGCTCAACACTGTTTCTGTTGTCCTTCCTAAATAACTGCCCGTGTGCTTCCAGACCTCCATTGTATCCCATGGAAACAATGGCTTGTTTTTTTTGTTTTAGAGTGCAACAGAACATGAGAAACTAAAATATAACTTAGCACTTACCTTCAAAGCACTTTAGAAATGTGAAGTAAACCTCACGCTTGCAAGAACTGTTTGACAGAGGAGGGAAGTGAGGCTCAGGTGGAGTAGTTTCCAAAGGTCACAGACAGAGCCAGGACAATACATGTGGCACCATCCTGTCCCGTGACTGCTGGCCCATCCCATCACTCCAGTAAAAGGTTCATCATACTGCCCAGAGCTGCCACCACAATGCTGTCAAACGTTCCCTACATCCCCTCTTGTCTCAGCAGCTTCTGTGTCACAGGGTGAATGACAGTGCTTAGTTACACACGGTCATTACAGCTGTAGTCTGTATAAATATGCAATCTGTATATACATACAGATCACATATATACACACACTTACGAAGACTGTATATATGAAATTGTTTGGTATGCACTTATTTTGCTTTAAACTCCTGAGGTTAAACATTATAGTGTAGCAATTTGTGTAAAGTGCACTGTGATTTCAAGAAAGCACAGTAAAGTCACAGGTCTTGTTATTCTTGCACTAAAAATGTGTTTACGTATATTAGCCAATGTAATGTCTACTTTATCGCTCCTTTTGACAAATGAAAGCAAATGGTATAAAATAGTATGGGGTTTTTTTCTTTTTGGTTTGGGTTGTTTCTTTTGAAGTGGACAATGGCACTATGTTTTTAAATGACAGGGTTTTTAAATAAAATGGAATCATTCTGTGTTCATTCCAATGTAAGACATTTACCAATATCTTGAAATTGAATGTCATGTTGCTTTTTTTCATATTTCATTAGAAATTGTCAGGTATGTGCCTGAGATTGTGTAGGAGTAAGGAGTAGCTAGAGGCTAACTGTAATCATATATTATTAGCCGTTTCTATATACACGGTATAAATACATATTAATTTTCTTTTCATTTTTGTACTTGATTTTTTTAGGTAAGATGTAATTAAATGTACTTTGATACTTCTGAAGTAATAAGATGTTGTTTGAAGATCAATTCTGCTTTCTTTAGTGCATTGACGATATTTTACAATAATTTAGTGCTTATTTATTTGTGCTCCGGTGTAATTATAATAAAAAGCAATAGTTTAAAATATTTGGCTGTTCATTTTCATTTGACAGTTTGAGTTTAGAGACGGATTATTCAGTAGGGATTAGCCAGAGATTCCCAGGAAGAAAAGTCAAGTCATAGATGTGTATTTATAGCATTCCCTAGGCGCATTTTTAATCACACCATTTGTTGGAGGAAATGAATTAATTGCTTTAATAGGTTAGTGTTTGCAAGTCATGCCTGGTTGCATCTAATGCCATGAGTACCATCCTCAACTAAATCCTCAGGATAAGACTTCTCTAAAGAGCAGATAATTTTTTCTCTAAGCACCTTTCACAGTTTGGGATGAAAGATGCTCACTTCAAGACCTCCATTTGCAGAATATCCACAGATGGGAGAGGGACCCATCACACTTCCCATAAGGCTCTAAAAAACCTGCTTAAAAGTAAGTGTGATCTTTTTGTTTCCAGACAGAAACTTTACTCCCAATCAGATGTCAAACCCAGCCCTTGCAGAAGAATTCCACAATTGTTTTAAGAAGACATTACCCCTAATATTTTTAAGAATATATTTTGTGATTTTAAAAGCTTTCCAAGAACAAACAAGTAAGTAGTTAATAAAGAACTCAGTAAGAAACAGCAATGTTCTTGCTATGGCACTGAGGCCAAATTTCTCTCCCTTAGTGAAGAAAAGCTGCCTTTAATATGCAAAAAAAGTGCAATCCATATTTGTATAGACCTGCATGCAGAAATGCATCAGTGGGAATCTTTTGGTTGTATTCAGCAGG